TTCAAATGTTGCACAGAGTCCTTATTTTTTTTTTGCTAGTAAGTTCGTTTATTTAAACATAGTTGTTTGGTAAAGTTGCTGGTTGATGTATGTGGTTGCATCTTTCTATCCACATTGCGTGAGTGAATTTAATTATTTCTATTTGGATTTCTTGTGCTTTATCCCAGGCCTCTAATGTTTGGTAGACTTCTTTGGGAAGTATTCCAATATAAATGGTTGAATATTTAGGGATAGTGTTGGATTTCAAGTGGGTTACTAGTATTTTTCTGATTGTTTCTAAAGGTTTTTTGGTTATTTGTTGGATATTGTCTTCTAGGCTTCTCCATAATCTTTCACGAAGATATTCAGTTTTTTTGCAGTTAAAAATGGCGTGTTGAGTGTTCTCCTCTTCCTTGCAATCTCTTATAGGGCATCCATTACCTGGTGTAAAGATGTTGTTTGTTGGGAGACTGTTAAAAGCAGCTCTAGTGGCAATGTTGATTTGGTTTTTTGTGATGGTTTTGTTTTTAGGGATTATTCTAGATTTTCTAATCTTGCTAAATGCATTTAGGTTTGCTTTCGCTACTTCTTCTTTAAATATTTCCGAGTATAGAATTGTATCTATTTTGTCATAGATTATTTTCTCATTAAAAGTAAAAAGGTATCTGTCTAACTCTTGAGCTGGGGGGATTGCTTTGGTCTTGTTTCTATTCTTGCGTCCTCTATTTGCTTCTATGTCAGCTTCATTATTGAGTTGAATTAAGACTTTTTCCTCATGGGTCATCTGTTGTGTTTCCACTTGGTGGGATTTAATGTGTCTTAGGGTAATCCTTTGCTTCTCTTTCCTGATGGCTTTCACATAGGGGTTATTCGTCTTTCTATCTCCTTCAATAATTTTAATACTTGCCATCGAATCTGTAAGAATTTGGATATTTCCTTTTGTCATTTTGCATGCTATATAGATTGCTTGAATTTCACAGTCAAACGACGATGCTGCTGCGAAGGCATTCATATTGATTTTTTCTCCTTTTTCGGTGACTATACCAATTCCTCCTTCATTGTCTTTGAAGGATCCGTCTGTAGCAATTATCATGTTCTCTTCTTCCATCAAAGAACCCATCTCTATATCTTTGGCTTTGGAAGGGCTTTTTTAAT